TGTACCTTTATAATTTCATTTTATCCTATTAATCCATCCTGAGCTGAGGGAGATAATCGCCCCTGTTGTGAGGGTGTCTGAAGATGTTCTAGGCATTTCAGTTTTATTCTCAACTCTAATTCTAGGAGGGAAGAGTCAGCCTCTTTCCATGATGTCTGATGCATCCCTCTCCTCCTTAATTCCGAGGGCACCGACAGGGCCCTTAGCAATGAGGTCACCAGGGAGAGGAGGTCACAAGCTAAGTGGACCAAATGGCCAGGCTCCTTACCTACGTCAGGCCACCCGCTCCCACGCTGCTCCCCCTAATTTTTAGGACTCTGTGCAAATCCCACAAAGCGTGGATGCTTAAATTCCAAGTGTGACAAAGCTTGCAAAACCACCCTGAGTGGGAAACCATCTTTCTGAGCATACTGGGGACCTTTCCAGGGTGGGGGGTGGGGCGATGGAAGGATGGCAGGGGCATCTCCCAGGAGGGGAAGGTGGAGGAGGACGCAGCACGGAGGGTGGGGACTAAGTGGGGGGGGGGGGTTAAGGGTTTGAGATGATCCCTTCCTAGTCTGGAGGCCCGGAGCGTGTCTGCGGAAAGCGTCTCCGAAGGGCAGAGTTGTAGGCAAACATCAAGTTCTTCTCACAACCGAGCCGCCTGAAGCCCTCAGCACCCTGGCTCCAGAGTCTCAAAGTAGGTTTGTTAAACCCTCTGCGTCATGAAGCACAGATGAGTGGTAAGTCTGTTTAGTGAGTTGCAACCAAGTTATTGAAAAAATTTTAAAGCTTCAAAAAATGAAATAGACTGGACCAATGCTTCTCAAACGTGGTCATTGTGCAGACCTGGGCTGGGGCCCCACAGTCTGTATTTCTAACTCAGATGGTGCTGACGCTGCTGGTCCAGGGACCACACTTTGAGAAGCCGAGGATGAGCTGTCTAGCTAGATGGGAATAGACAAAACACAGCAGCGCAGTGCATACTGTAAAATTACGTCTAGATTCGTGAACACTTATTTCGTGTGTGTGTGTGTGTGTGTGTGCGCGTGTGCGTGTGTTTGGATGTGTACTCTTATAACAGACTGGGATCCAAGAAAGTGAAAAACACCGAACTGGAATTACAAATAGGACTCAAGTCGAAAGACAAATACACTCAGGTGGATTTGGGCTATGGATCATTCTGACTCTATTTTAAACACGAAAATGTTCCTGTAAGGGACATACTTCTTATCTAGTCCCCCGTTGCTTCCATTACGAAAATTTGAACTTGTGCCATTTCCTGTGGCGAGGGCTTACACAGAGGGGTGAGAAGGGCATAGCTATTTTGGAGTCTCATTTCAAAACCTCCCAATATCACCAAAATCAACTGGCACAAACAGAGAGCATGGGAGTTTCTTTCACAGAAATGGCAAAGTGCGTCTATCAATGGAGCACATACAGCCGGGCGGAAGGGCTCACGAATGGCCGCTCCATCAACCTTGGCAGATGTGTACATTACGCTTTGATCTCCAAGGATGCTGTATTTAGATGACATAATGCCCTTTGGGTTATCTTTCTCCAAGGTAGAAGGGACGTAAGCAGATACCCACTCTTGCAAGATAAAATTAGCACCTCTTTGCTGGTAGATAAACATTTTCGGCAGGAAAGCTCTGATTAAAGTACAAAGCAGCCAGGGGTATTAGGCTGCACCCCTTTGAGTGAAATTCTTCTTTATAATAAAAGGAAATAGCACTGCTATGACATAAGGCAACGGGGAGCTGCCACTCCCGCTGCAAAGACAGGGCTTTGCTACTGCAGCCGTTGTGCAGAGCATCAGCCTAGCCTAAACTGGGGGCTGGGGGGGGGAAAGGGGGGACTCTGTGCCGAACCCTCACTCAGAGCAAGTGCCCCGTCGGTCCTGGCGCTTTCTGTTCCCATGTTCCGGGGGTGCTGCGAGCAGCTGTGTGGTCTGCTCACCGCCCAGCGGACCTGGCACTCCCGCCCACCGCAGTCACCAAGCTGCTCACCCTGGTGTGGGGCTGGGTCAGTCCAGAGTGGGGCACCGTCTGGAGAATTCTTGCAAAAGCACTGGGCAGACTCGCTCTGGAGGCACCGTCTACCCCCCGGACACTTTGCGCCGATTCGCACTAATGCATTTTGCCCACAGGACCCCTGCCCCGTGTATTTCCCTCCCACACATGCCCCTATAGGAGGTCACAGAACTGTGAACTGGACAAGTCCCAGTCCAGCTCGGGGCTGGGGAAAGAGGCCAGGAGTGCACATTGTCTGAGACATTTCGTTTTTCCCCACTGGATGGCTAGCCAGCAAAATCAGAAAATGTCGGTGGCTGAAAGCTTCATCCAACTGCATGTGTTTTTTGATTTTTGGGTACTGGCTTATTTAAGTGACTTACTTTCCAAACATGATTTTCTCTTTTCTAAAGATTCTTGCTTCTTTTCTATTTAGAGAAGACCTTTCAATATTTCCTTTAGGATAGGTTAGGTATTGCTGTATTCTTTTAGTTTTTGCTTGTCTGAGGAATTCTTTCTCTCTCCTTCTGTCCTAAATGATAATCTTGCCGGGTAGAGTGTCCTAGGTTGCCGATTTTTCCCTTTCAGGACTTTGAATATATCTTGCCACTCCCTTCTGGCTTGCGACGTTTCTGTACAGAAATCAGCTAATAGCCTTATGGGGGGTCCCCTGTCGTTAACTCTTTTTCTCTTGTTGCCTTTAGAATCCTCTCTTTAACCTTGGCCATTTTAATTAGAATATGTCCTGGTGTAGGTCTCTTTGGGGTCAACTTGTTTGGGACCCTCTGTGCTTCCCGTATCTGGATGTTTCCTTCTTTAGATCTGGGAAGTTTGCAGCCCTAATTTCTTCAAATACATTTTCAATCCCCGTTTCTCTTTCTTCTCCTCCTGGGACCTCTATTCTGTGTAGATTGGCACACTTTATATTATCCCATAGGTCTCTTATATTGCTTTCTTTTTTTTTTTTTTGCGGTACGCGGGCCTCTTACTGCTGTGGCCTCTCCCGTTGCGGAGCACAGGCTCCGGACGCGCAGGCTCAGTGGCCATGGCCCACGGGCCCAGCCGCTCCGCGGCATGTGGGATCTTCCCGGACCGGGGCACGAACCTGCGATCCCTGCATCGGCAGGCGGACTCTCAACCACTGTGCCACCAGGGAAGCCCTGCTTTCATTTTTTTAATTTGGCTTTCTGTCTGCTGTCCTGATTGGGTGATTTCCATTATTCTATCTTCCAGGTCACTTATTCGTTCTTCTGTGTTATTCATTCTGCTATTCATAGCCTTTAGCTCAGCTTTCATCTCAGTGAATTAGTTCTCTAATTTTTCTGGGCTGCTCTTTATAGTTTCTAGTTCCTTTTTACAGTTATCTGCATTTCTATCGACAGCCCTTCTTAATTCCTTCAGTATTTTCATTATCTCCTTTTTGAACTCGGTGTCTAGTAGACTGAAGACGTCTGCTTCATTGTTTGTCCTTTCAGGGGAATTCTCTTGATCTTTGCATCGGGAGTGGTCCCTCTGCTTCTTCATTTTACTTATATGTCTCTTGCTCTATGAGTTTGGGAGAAACAATTATCTACTGTGTTCTTGGAGGGCTATTCATATGTGGGAGCGTCCCTGTGTAGTCTGCACGAGTTTAGTATTTTTGGTGCGAGGGCTGTTTTCAGTACGGATGCCTATTGGCTCTTTCCTCAGCGTGTGCTGGCCGGGTCCCCTTGATAGGAGATGCGACTGGTGTTGTGGCAACCAGAGCCCACAAGGGATAGTGCGCGGGGACTCCCCTTGCTCTGTGGTTGTCACAGCCCTGTCCAGGGCAGGGTCTGCTCCCTAGCTGTTGGAGTAGAAGCCCCCAGACCCATTTCTGAGCTGCGGCGTGAGGTAGGTGGGACTGGAGCGCTCCCGCTGGGAGAAGAGCCACTGAGAATTCCTTCACTGGAGCCTCCACCGCCAGGACACAGGCAATGGGCCCTGGTGTCCCTCAGGTGCTGTGTTCACAAAGCTGCCAGTGCAGATCTTACCCACTGAAGTCGGGTACCAGGACCACAGGGGTCACCCACCGGGACCCGCTTTGGGAAGCAGCCCAGATCCCCGACCCGCCTCTGCACGGGTGCCCTCAGAGCCCTCAGCTGCTAAGGCCGGACCCGTCCCAGCTGCGCGAGCATCCGCTGTCCCGCTCCCAGAGCTCGTAGAGGCGACCCCGGGAAAGAGGCCGCTATGGCGGCCCCGCACCCCCTTCACGAGCCCCTTAGCGAGGCGCTTTGCTTCTATGGTGCCCGGGCTTCTTCTGCGAACGCCCCCAGTTGTCACCGGTACTGAGACAGGAGGGAAGGGGGCAGGGCACAACCTTTAAAAGAACGACAGAGACGTGGAGGACACGACAAAACCTGGTTAGAACCTACTAGGCCCACGATGGTGGAAGACCCAGTTTCCAGTGGACCTTGAGCCTCATTATACCCTCATTGTAATACATCAGCTAAATACACGCCCACCGGCGCCAGGACAGCTCCGAGGCCCACCATAAAGGGCCAAAAAGTGGGCGACGCCCCAATTCCTGGAAGCTCCCGCCCCTTCTCCAAAATAGTTGGAATAACCGTTCCACTTATTAGCCTATGAAATTATCCAGCCCATAAAAGCTAACCACCCCGTATTTCAGGGCCACTCTCACCTTCTGAGACGGCCCACACTCTGTCCGTGGAGTGTGTATCTCTCTCAATAAATCTGCTTCTTACCTATCACTTTGCCTCTCGCTGAACTCCTTCTGCGCTGAGACGTAAAGAACCTGAGCTTCATTAAGTCCTGAGACCAGGTGTGTGATCTCAATTAAAAGACAGTGGCTTCGAGTCCCAGCCCGCGGGTTCGAATACCATCCGAGTTGTGCGGTTTCAGCATCACAGTCCGGCCCCTTTCAGGCTGCCTGCAGGCAGGCAACCCCGGTCCTCTCCCCGGCTCTGTCCTCTGAAGCCTGGGTGTCAGCCCCCAGCCCCTGCGCGCACCAGCAGGCGCGCGTCTCGGGCTGGGGTGCAGCGAGGCGCCTCGGAACCCCCGTGCCAGCCTCTCTCCGTTCTGGCTGCCCCCACCTGCCGCTGCGCTCTCCTCTGAGCCTCGGAAGCTCCCCCTCTGTCCCGGCTGATGTCCCTCCCAGCGATGGGGCTTCCCAGGGTGTGGGAAACTTTCCTCTTTTCCAGCTTCCTCCCAGGGGTGCAGGGCCTGTGCTGATTCCTCTTTTCTTTTGTCCTACCCGGTTACGAAGAGATCTTTCTTGCACTTCCGGGTGTCTGATGTCTTTTGCCAGCGTCCGGTAAGGTATTCTGTGGGAACTGTTCCACTAGTAGATGTATTTTTGATGTATCTGCGGCAGGAGCTGAACTCCACGTCCTTCTGTTCCGCCATCTTGCTTTCTCTCTCTTTCTAGATGTTATTAGGTTAAGGGTCTCCAGCTGAGCTCAATCCAACAACCGAGGTCCTTATAAGAGACAGGAGAGAGAGAGAGAGAGAGGAGAGGCCACGTGAAGATGGAGACAGAAGCTGGAGGAAGGCGGCCACATGCCAAGGGAGCCTGTAGCCAGTGCTGGAGCCCTATATGGATGATTCTGGGCTGTGGTTGCATGTAATTACTAACACCTCCCTTTACTCTCAAAAACGCCCAGTTTGGAGCAATAAATGATACCTCCACTCTACGAAAGATTTTAAGCAAGAGGATGACACACTGACACCTGGGGAGTGAAAGCCCACGCTGGCTGCCCTGCGCGAGTGGCCCAGACCGGGCAAGGGGGCATGGGGAACAGCGGCCCTCCACCAGGGTGACTGCACTGGGGAAAGGGGGACAATCACACACTCGGGGATTCCTGGACACCGACACTGATTCCAGGAGGCTCGCTGTGGCACTGGGGTCCCCTAGTCCCCGTAGGGGCTTTTGGGGGCCAGGAGTTTTAGCTCATATGGAGTTTTAGCTCACTCCTGTCCCAACGTGGCTGCAGTGCGTCCCCAAACCTGTCCTGTGGTTATTTCCTCCGTTCTGGAATGCTTAACTGCAACAGACATCCTTGGCCGTGTCCCCGCAAGGGGGGAGGGGAAAGGGGCAGGTCAGAGAGGAGTCCTGGGCTGCTGGTGGGGCAGTTGCTCCCACCGTTTGTTCCAGCAAATTCTGGTCCCCGTCACATTGCTCACTTCATTTACTCCTGTCCTGGATGACCCAGGGGTAGATACGGTCTGGAGGAGGGGCGACCTCCCCCTTTCAGGCTTTTCCCCTTGGGTCTGGGCTCACGGTTCAACCTCTCCCAGGGCCTGTGTTCATAGTGTGTTGCTCCATCTTGGCTGCAATGGACTTGGGAGCCACAGGGTCTTCTGACACTGACTCAGAACCCAGCTAAAAGGGACTCAAAAACAGTAAGGATGCGTAAATTCATCCACGCGTCTGTGCTAGTGATGAGAACAAACACTGACCTAGAGTTTCCCCTGCGCTCGTTGTAAGGGCTCTGCCCCTTCAAAGTCGGTGGAGACTTTGGTCTGGGCCCACTCTTCCTGCTTTGGAGGGTCCCCCTTCTGTGCCCTCCCCAGCCAGCCCCCTTTGGCTTTCCCAAAGCTTTTCATCAGTCCTGGTCTGGAGGAGGGGGCCTGCGAGCAGTCATTCACGCCTATATATGAATTTCTGTCACTCTCTTTCCGTCCCTCTTGGGGAGGGCATTTTGTGAATCACCACTCATTGTGAATGAAAGTAAGATGTGTTCCCCGGGAGAGACACTTCAGTGAGAACAGGCAGAGTCAGGGGAGGCTTTTCCGGGTGCCCGTGGTAACAGGGGGACCACCCTTGCCACCCTTCTCTGAGGAACCCTGAGTTCTCTGCCCTCCGTTCTCCAGGCTGCCAGGCCCCTGTCGCTGTACCTGCTTCTCTAGGGAGTGTTCCCAAGACTCCTTCCCACACCTGACCTGCCCCCTTTACTCTGTCTCTTTCTGATCACAGACATGTGCATTGGAGTGTCTGGCCAGTAACGATAAATAGTGTCCAAACCCCTTCACTTCCACTCCGAAACCAGGGTCCCTTCTCAGCTTCCCTGTCATCACCTGCACGCCACTTCCCGATGCAAAGTGTGCTCGGCTCACCTGGAAGAACAGGCCCTTCCCTGGTCCCCTGGTCCAAAAAATAAATAGTTTTTTTTCATTTACAGAGATGGATTTGATATTTGATACATTAAAGGGAGGAGGAAAAGCTGCAATGGAATTTCCACTTTACAGTTTAGTATTGATTTTATTTTTCGTTACATCTTTGTAAGCCTTGTTCAGGTTTTGTCTTCATCCATCCTGGCTACTTCATGGATTCTCCATGCTGAAGACCTCTGAGATCTCAAATCCTTACAAGAAATATTCCATCCAAGTCCTTAACTATCACCTGGTCAATTTCAACATTTACTCCAGCCCAGAGCAGATTGAGACAAACCCTGAAAAGATTACAGGGCCGTCCCCGTGCGTGCCTGTATGGAATTCAACATACAAGCAGCACTAAATCATGAAAAGAGTGTAGGGAAATTCGTCAAAGGGCTAACTAAGGGTTATTATATTTTACAATAAGCATATTTGATGTGATTTGCTTTATTGGTTCATTTTCTGTTAATTGTGCCTCTGATTTTTTCTAATTTTTTTGACGTGTTTCCCGCTCTATTGGCTTGTCATTTTCTTATTAATCTGTAGCTCTATTTCTGTGTTTCTACGTTTTTTCAACCATTTTATTTATTGTATAGGTTTACCTTTCTTGCTTTTAATTTCTTTTTCTTGATGTTTAACTTACATCCAGGAAAGTATAGAGAGTACACAAATCTTAAATTTATAGCCTGACGCTTTTACATGTGTGTACACCTCAACAGAGACATACAATATTCCCCGCACCCAGGGGCCCCCCCAGAAGCCCTGCCCCTTCTCAGCCTAAACTCTCCCCAGAGAAGGTCTCTATTGGTCTCAGTCACGTTCTTGATCTCGATGCCCTGACTGACTGGGATCTGTTAACGCTACTCTTTGGGCAACCCACCAGGGTCTGAGCCCTTCCTTGCAAACTTCCAGGATCCCCAAGAATGGGCTCACTTAATGCGCCCCATTCCCCAGCCTGTCTTTGGGGTGACATTCAAGGCATCGCTCAGCCTCTCACCGCACCTTGCTCACCACACCTCGGACCCCACCACGGCTGACCCAGGTCAACATCAGACCCTACCCGACCGATTGTGGCCAAGCAGTGCACCCAGGAACGTGAACCATGAGGCCTGAGGACTGTACTGCAGACAGGGACCTCTGTCTGTGTGTCATCCTTGAATAAAAGCTGGACTCTGAAGGTGAGAGTCTGAAGATCTGGCTCCTAACCCTAACTCTGCCGCCGCAGCAGCATCTCGGGTAAGTCCCTCATCCTTGGCAAATGCCTGTTCAGTGAAGGCCACCGCGCCTCCCTCCTGGCAGACATCACTAATCCATCTCCTGGCAGACATCACTAATCCATCTTCCGCTCCCTCCTCCCCAGCCCTGAGAGAGGCAGCATCTAGACCTTTCGTCCTCAGAGTGCTTAGGAGCTTTGAAAACCTCCCAGTGCCCGGGCCCAGCCCTCAAGGATTCGGATTTAATTAGCCTAGGGTGCAGCCTAGGCGCTGGGGTTTTTCAAAATCACGCTGATTGTAAAGTGCGGTCCGGGACTTCCCTGGCGTTCCAGTGGTTAAGACTCTGTGCTTCCCACGGGGAGATCAGCTCGGTGCCTTGTGACCACCGAGAGGGGTGGGATAGGGAGGGTGGGAGGGAGACGCAAGAGGGAGGAGATATGGGGATATATGTATATGTACAGCTGATCCACTTTGTGATAAAGCAGAAGCTAACACACCATTGTAAAGCAATTTATACTCCAATAAAGTTGTTTAAAAGAAAAAAAAAAGACTCCGTGCTTCCCCTTCAGAGGATGCAGTTTCGACCCCTGGTCGGGGAACTAAGATCCCACATGCTGCGTGGCCAAAAGAAAAAGAAATAAATGAAATAAAGTGTGGGGAGGGAGGGAGACACAAGAGGGAAGAGATATGGGAACATAGGTATATGTATAACTGATTCACTTTGTTATAAAGCAGAAACTAACACGCCATTGTAAAGCAATTATACTCCAATAAGGATGTTAAAAAAAGAAAAGAAAAGAAAAGTATGGTGCAAGTCGAGAACGCTTGCTCGGAACCGAGGAGCTTGGGCAGCCACCCCTGCCAAGCAGGTGAAATCCATGGCCGTTCTACTCTAAACCCGGCCACTCTGAGTGGTTCACGGATCAGCGACTTGGGCACCCCCAGCTGCTGGTTAATGAGGGCCAAACTCAGCCCCACTCACACCTGCTCATCTGGACCTGCACTTCAGCCAGACCCACAGGGCTCGTGCGCACGTTCCACAGAAGGGCCCTGAATGAGATGGGTCCCGGGTGCCTTGCAGCCCTGACATCTGTGGTTTCGTTTCACCCACCTCCCTCCACCACTCACGGGTGTGGGTTTAAGAGATGATACAGTTCCGGGACTGATGTGACAATCTATGCTTTTCCTTTCTCTCTCTCTCTCTTTTTTCCATATGTCCTTAATCAGCAGAAATGTTTTCCCCATAGCTTCTGTAAATAAATCCCTTAATACTAAAGCTATTGTCCTCCAAAGAACTCATGATAATTAAAAAAAAAAAAAGTCTTTTCCCAAGATGTCCACTTCCCAGTAAAGGTCTGAGTTCATGTGGGTCCTTTCACTTCAGAGGCGAAGGCCCAGGGGCATCTCCACAGGACTGTGACTGGCGGGGCAGGAGGTGGGGTTAGTCACAGGTCCACGTGCGTAAAAAGAAATCCATAGAGAAACTTAAGATACAAGACATCAATCAACGGTATATTACAGAAGAGAAAAAAAAAATCATCACCCACAATCCCACCAGTCTATTATTTCCAGTTTTTTGTATTTGCAAAATGTTGCCATCCCTTTAATTACATGTATGTGGGTACTTTAAGAATATCCTAGCGCCCCGGAGAACAGTGTGTTTATGTTAAGGTGATTTGTCTGTGGGGGAAGATTTTAGTTGGTAATTAAAGGAAGAAGGTAGGAGGAAAACTTATGGATCATCCTTTACAGATGGGGAAAGGAGTCCAGAATTGTTAAGCAATGTGCCCAGGTAAGTGGCAAAAAACAATCCGAACCCAGCTTTCCTGACGGCAGAATTCCCCCCACGTACCGCTGTGCCCCTCGCTGTGTCTTCTGCTTTACTCTTTTTCTAGCCCTTCTTATGAGGAGGTGGCATCCCATTTTTAAAAAATGAGTTATCGCTCTCAATACATTCAGGTGTTTTCCTTTTATGGTCAGAGTTAAACAGCAAGACGATAATTGATATTTCTTGCAAACCAGCACTTTCTCCATCTCTGCTGCCCTTGTACGAAAGGGGGAAGTGGGATCCAGAGAGGGCAAGCTACTTGCCCAAACAAAAACAGCTTGT